TGGCCTTCCTGGGGGCCCTCTTGGGGGCCTCTTGGGCCGTCTTGGGCCAGCTTCGAGCCAACTTCGGCCATCTTGGTGGGTTCCTGGCACGTCTGACGCCGTCGGGAGCCGTCTTGGGGGCCTTTCTGCGCCGACTTGGGGCCCTCTTGGGGCGCTTCGGGGCCGTCTTGGAGGTCATCTTGGGCGTCTTGGAGGCCATCTTGGGCGTGTTGGAGGCCTCTTGGGCCGTCTTGGGGCCCTCTTGGGGCCGTCTTGGAGGCCACTTGGGCCGTCATGGGGCCCTCTTGGGGGCCTCTTGGGCGATCTTGGGGGCCTCTTGGGCCATCTTGAGCCGTCGGAATGCCGAGAAGAAGCAAATTAAAACCTAAGGAAAATCAATGATTTTGGCATCTTCGGGCCCTCCTGGAGGATCTCTTGGAGGCCCCTTGGGCCGTCTTGGAGGCCTCTGGGGGGCCTCTTGGGCCGTCTTGGACTCTCTTGGGCCATCTTGGAGGCCGTCTTGGATCATCTTGGGCAGACTTGGAGGCCATCTTGGGCCATCTTCGCGATTGGTTAAGGATGTCCCGAGCGAAACGGCCGTTTTTGGCGTTGGCAACCGGGTCTTCCGGGTGGCCGGCGGGGCGGGCCGAAGCCCCAGGGGGAGCTCTTTGGGGAAAAAAGCAAAAACCAAAGGCCATATAATCTGGCACGCCAGGCGCTCCTTTGATCGAAGACGCCTACGGCGAATCACCGCCGCCCCTTGCCTTTTTGGAAGCGCCTATGTGGCCGAACGGTGAGGTGAGGCCAGACCTGCCAAGCTATCGGACCATGTGTTCCCCGAATCGGTTTGGAAAGTCTTCGGGGAACACGTGGGCATCTTAAAGGTCATCTTGGCCGTCTGGAGGCCATTTTGATCCTTTCGGGTCTTCTTGGAGGACGTCTTGGAGGGCTCTTGGGCCGTCTTGGAGGTCATCTTGAGAGGCTTGGAGACCTCTTGGGCCGTCTTGGGGGCCTCTTGGGGCCGTGTCTTGGGCCTCTTGGGCGATCTTTGGGGGCACTTGGGCGGTCTCGGGCCGTCGGAAGGTAGAAAAAAAGCAAGTGCCACAATCCTTCAAAAACCCATGGGATAGATTTTGGCCTTTTCGGGCCTTCCTGGAGGTCCTCTTGGAGGCCTCTTGGGCCGTCTTGGGCCATCTTAGGGCCATGTTCGGCACTCTTGGTGGGCTCCTGGTCCGTCTGAAGCCGTTGGAAGCTGTTTGGGGGGCCTCTATGGGCCGACTTGGAGCCCTCTTGGAATGCTCCAAGGCCGTCTTGGAGGCCATCTTGGGCGTCTTAAAGGCCTCCTGTGCCGTCTTCGGAGGTCTCTTGGGGCCGTCTTGGGGCCTTCTTGGGCCGATCTGGGGCCATCTTGGAGGCCTCTTGGGCAATCTTTCGGCGATCTTTGGGGGCTCTTGGGCCGTCTCGGGCCGTCGGAAGGCCGAAAAGAAGGACATGTCAAAATCCGTCAAAAACCTTAGGAACATCAAAGCTTTGGCATCTTCTGGCCTTCCTGGGGGCTCTCTTGCTCTTGGGGGCCTCTTGGGCCGTCTTGGGCTAGCTTCGAGCCAACTTCGGCCATCTTGGTGGGTTCCAGGCACGTCTGACGCCGTCGTCTTGGGGGCCTTTCTGGGCTGACTTGGGGCCCTCTTGGGGCGCTTCGGGGCCGTCTTGGAGGCCATCTTGGACGTCTTGGAGGCCAACTTGGGCGTGTTGGAGGCCTCTTGGGCCGTCTTGGGGCCCTCTTGGGGCCGTCTTGGAGGCCACTTGGGCCGTCATGGGGCCCTTTGGGGGGCCTCTTGGGGGCCTCTTGGGCCGTCTTGAGCCGTCGGAATGCCGAGAAGAAGCAAATGCCAAAATCCTTCAAAACCTAAGGAAAAACAATTATTTTGGCCTCTTCGGGCCTTCCTGGAGGACCTCTTGGAGGCCTCTTGCGCCGTCTTGGAGGCCTCTTGGGCCATCTGGATCCATGTTGAGGCTATCTTAGGCCGTGCTGAGTGCATCTTTGCTCGTCTTGTAGGCATCTTGGAGCCATCTGAGCCGTCTTGGAACCAATCTTTGCCGTCTTGGGGGCGTCCTGGAGGCCATCTTGGGCCGTCTTGGGGCCGTCAGGGGCAGGAAGACCGTTTGCAGCCACCTCTGGGCAAGCCTGCCGGGACCCCGGCGGGACGCGCCGGAGCCCATTGGGAGAGTTCTTTTCGGAAACGAACCAAAACCCAAACCGTAAGAAGTTCAGCACGCCAGGCCCCCCTGCGATGAATCGACAGGGGGCGGCGGATAAATGAAAAGGGGGCGGCGGGTAGTGGATCATAGGCCGCTGGGATGTTCGCTGGGATCTCGTGGGAGGCCTGCCGTGAGGCCTCCTTGGGACCGTTTTGATGCCTCTTGTGGGCCAGTCTGCGGCATGCTGCGTGCAGCTGGTTTCGGCCCCGCCGCCGGGCCCATTCCTCGATGCATGGGCGTCTCCCGGCGCCGGGAGGCGCCGGGAAAATCAGCTACGTGAGCTGATTCTCCCCCCCCCCCTTTGCTATCCCCCCCTGTCGCCCAGCCCGAGCATGTCTCGGGACCTCGTAAAGGGGGGGGGGCACCCCTGACCTGCCAGGAGGGCTAAAAACTAGCACCAGGATGTCGACATCCTGATTCCTGTCGAGGCTGGAGGCAGCCCAGATAGATCTATAGGTCTGGAGTGGTATTTTTTAACACTCTGGAAGGTCAGGGACAGGGGGGGGGAGTTCGGTCCGCTGGCACATCAAACCGCAGAAGAACGATGCAGAACGAGGTCTCCGGCCGCCGCCGGAACCCGAGAGGTGTCGACCATCGGGGCGCGCGGGGGGCATCGTTTTTTCGGAAATTTGATGCACCCGCGGATCGAACTCCCCCCCCCATTCAGGGTACCTCCCCTTGGATGGACCCCGAATTTCGGTTCGATCCGAGTTTTACTATGTTTCAACCTACTTTAGTCTTGATCACGAGAAAGAATGTCGAGTACCCAAAAAATACCGAAACTCGAGGGTTTTCACGTGTCGGGCCCTGTTTCGGCACTCGTCCGACACTGTGCTCGAAATTATTTCTGGGATGTGGTCCTTCAGTACGATGGGAACACCATAATCCGAGTTCCGATTCGATGCTAGCTGATTTCGATTGTCCACGGCAGTTCCGCGCCGCGTCGATGCGGCGGCCAGCCTGGCGCGCGTTCGCTTGAGAGGGCGAATGCTAAACTCGGGTTGGCCCAACAGGGCATCCAGCGACAAGGGGGTGGTGCAATAGATCTGCGGGGTTGCAATACATTCGGGGCGTGGAATACATTCCGGAGTGCAAATGTATTGCTGGACTCTGGCGTGCAACGCATTACTCGCAAGACAATGCAATAGAATTCTCCGGCGCAACACATTTGGGACACCCAAATAAACAGCGTCCAAGAATCGGGCGACGTCGAACGTTCAGGGGCCCCAGCACGGGTTGGTGACCACACCGGGTGGTGAGTCGGTGGGGGGAGTCGGGGTCGCCGCACTGTTTTGGGACGAGGGTCGCTCTCCGAGGACGCCTCGGGCGACCAGGGCCTCCGAGGTCCCGGGACCGTGCGGTGGCGGACTGCGCGGTGAGGTTTCTTCGGATTTCGAGGTCGCCGCGCAGGCCATCACCGTCACCACGCGATCCTGGGACCCCGAAAACGACCTGCGGTGTCGAAAAGCCGCGATCGTTCAAGGTTGAACGAGCCGCGCTGTGCCAGAAGCCAACGCGCAAGTCGTCGCGTCACGAACTCGCAATACTGTAGTATGGCAATGAGCAAATGCAGTCGGACCGAGGTATCAGATCGAGGTCGGTTCGGGCAGGGTACGCAACTGTTCTTCGTGCTTGTTGGACGTTCTTGTGCATCCTGGGGAAGGGCACCCTCGAATGCTATTCATTTTGGCCGGCGGAGGGTCTGATGTTCTTGGAGGGTGCCTTTCTGGCGCAGGTCCGACTGTACACAGGGTGGGAGGAGAAGGAGGAGGAGGAGGAGGAGGAGGAGAAGGAGGAGGAGGAGGAGGAGAAGGGGGGAGGGGGGAGGGAGGAGGGGGGAGGAGGGAGGAGGGAGGAGGGAGGAGGAGGGAGGAGGCGGGAGAAGGGAGGAGGAGGGAGGAGGGAGGAGGAGGAGGGAGGGAGGGAGGAGGAAGGAGGGAGGAGGGAGGGAGAAAGGGAGGGGGCGTCACGGCGTCACGCAGCAGCGTCATGGGCGATGATCGCGTCATAAGCTGGGTTTGGCCTGCTCGTTGGGGGCATCGTCGTCGAGATTATTTGGTCGTCCTCTCCTACTGGGGAGACGTAAGACTCGAGTACGCCGGAACTCGGGGTCGCCTACGCTTTTTCACGAGCCCGCCCTGAATTTTGACTTCAGTTTTCGTGGGATGTCTGCAGCGGGAGCTCGCGTCCAATTTCAGGCTGGGTCGCGTCATTTTCATGGTGCCCCGTCAGGCCAACCCGAGTCCCCCTAACCCAAATCTTACGTCTTCCCGCTCCTGGAGAGGATGATCTGAGGTTATCCTCCTCCTCCCCCCTCCTCCTCCTCCTCCTCCTCCTCCTCCTCCTCCTCCTCCTCCTCTGTGCACTGCGCCGTGGCCTGGCGGCGTGACGGCGGACGGGTGCGATCAGCAAAGGCTTGTTCCCTCCCCCCACTCTGTGTCAGGGGCTCCGGCCCGCAGGCCAAAGGGAGTTTGTTTAGTGGAGGACAATCGGAGGACGCGTAACGAGGGTGCGTTCAAAGGGGGGGGGGGAGGGGGGCAGCGAGGGCTGCCGTAAAGGGGCCCTGGAGGGCCCCTAAAGGAGCCCTTTCGGGCCCAGAAGGGGGCCTTCCGGGCCCGAGCAGGGCAGCTTTTCTCTCGCCCTCCCCCATCGATCGCCCTCCCACGAGTTCGCGCCCAGGACCAGGGCGTCACGTGCCTGGTCGCTGCTGCTCACTCTGTTTCCTGCCTCGTCGCCCTGCCTGGCGCGGGCCTCCCAGAGAGGACCGGGAGCACGACGGCGCGTGGCTGCGCAGGGCCCCGCGCTCCGACGTGGGCCGGGAGAACGTGGTGTGCCTGGTGCGCAACGGCGACGTGGTGGTGGGGGACCTGCTGCACGTGAGGCGCCAGAGCGCACAGGACCCGTCAGCGCTAGCCCCGGAAGCAGGAGGAGGAGGAGGAAGAGGAGGGGGGAGGGAGGAGGGAGGAGGGGGGAGGAGGGAGGAGGAGGAGGGAGGAGGAGGAGGAGGAGGAGGAGGAGGATGAGGAAGTGCGAAGGGGCGAGCCTTCTCAGAAGGCTCGGAAGTCCCCCAGCCTTCTGAGGAGCCTCCTCGGACTTCCCGACGGCACAGAAAACTTCCTGGGAGCTCTGAGAAGCCCCGCCACCTTCTGAGAAGGCCTTCTCCTTCTCATTTCCCCCCTTCGCTCGCCGCCGAAGAAAGGGAGGGCACTCCCCTTTCCTTCCTCAGGGGGAGCAGCGTTGGCGGCGGCGTTTGAGCTTCTGTAGTTCCGGTGCCTTCTAACTACTGTTCGCGCGATGTGGAGGCCGCCAGCAATCTCCGGCCGGTCAAAATGTGTTATTGTTTGCACATAGTTCCCAAAACGATGCTTGCACTTATTGGGGTCTCTTTTGTGGAAAAAATGAACTGGACATGGGGGATCGCTCTGGCGGCTATGTTGTCGCCGTATGTTGCCGTCGCCGCCCGTCGCCCGGGCCTGGGAGGGGGTCTGGCGACTATGTAATCGCCGTTGCCGCCCCGTCGCCGCCTCGTCCCCGCCCGTCGTTTGTGCCTGCATTGATTCGCATTGATTTGCACTGCTATGCCGTGCTTTGAATTGCATTAATTTGAATTACTTTGCATTGCTTTGCATTGCTCTGCATTATTCTACATTGCTTTGCATTGCTCCGCATTGCTTTGCAGTGCTCCACATTGCATTGCACTGGTTTGCATTGCCTTGCATCGCGTTGCATTGCTATTCATTGTTTCCACATCACTGAATTGCAAGCCAACTTATTTGCAATCGCATTGCAGTGCATTGCGTTGCTTGGCATTGATTGGTTTAGAGTGCTGCGCATTTTTATGCGGTGCTTGTCTTTGCTTTGCTGTGCTTGGCATTGCTTTGCATCGCTCTGCATTGGTTTGCAGTGTGTGTGTATGCCTTGCTGAGGTTGCACAACATATATTGCACAACATCACTGCAGCACTCAGATGTATCTACATACATTGCGCAACGTAGATTGCACAACCTAGAGTGCGCACTAGATGCTGCACCACGTAGATTTATCCATACGTGTATGCTGGTTGCACAACAGATCTTGCACAACATGTATTTCACAACGAAGACTGCACCGTCATATAGTGCAACTAGAGTGTTCCACCTTAATTGTTCAAGATATATTGCTAGCCACACACTGGTTGGGGTCTGCGCTGGTCAACGTTTTAGGTCTCGGACTGACATGCTGCATCGGGCAGGTTCGCGTCGTGTCTGCGTGGTGGCGATCCTGGTGAGGGCGCTCAAGGTTGAGCGTCGCTTGTGGCTCAGGATCGGCCATACAGCAACGATCTGGAGATCGAAAAGCCGCCGATCGGCCATGGCTGACCGATCCGCGCGGTTCCAGACACCGTCGCCGGGGTCGTCACGACACTAGCCTTCCGTAAACAGAAATGTGTTTCACTTCCCGTGCGGATTTCTTGGATCGGCGTTGGGCACCCCCCTGGCGTCAGCCTCGCCGCCCCTGGCGCGCTCCGCGCGCCGTGGGAGAGGGGTCCAGCTTCTGTCTGCGCAGGACACCAGGGCGCCCAGGACCGTCTTCGGGCTCAGAGGGGGAATATACCCAGACCTCCCACGTGTTGAACAAGTCAACGAAGAAGTTGTTCACAGGTTTCGACCTCTGCGGTCTCTCGCTGGGCAGTGCAGGACCGTCAAAGACCGAATCAGGAGGCAAAGACTGCCCTGGGGAGAGGGTTCCCCCGTATCGAAAAAACGTCAGCACATCGAATCCCTGGATACCGATACATGTACCCTTTCTTCGTCTTCGCCTTTGTGGGCCACATGTCTAGGTTCTCCCCGGGAAACTGGTCACAGCCCGCCCGGGGGGGGCAGCGAGATCGGCATCTTCTTGCTTTCCGCAGTGGTCAGGTATCCACTCGAAGACTCGAAGGCCAAGTACGCCAGGACCTCCGATACGCTGTGCTTGTTTTTTCAAGCGCATGGCGCCCAGGCGGTCCAGACCACTGCCCCCAGGACCGGCGTTTCATCCTGAGCCCTTCTTGACGGCCCAGGAGGGCCCCAGACCCCTCCGAGTCATTACAAGAATCACGACGGGCGTTTTTGCGTTGTCTTCGGCCTGTGGAGCCCCTTACTGGGCCGCGGGACCGTCAGACAACGGCTCAGAATGAAAAACCGGTCCCAGGGAATAAGTCGAGAATTGTGGGGATCTTATTGCGTTATGACGTCGGGGGCCTGGGGAGGGCGGTTAGGGCACGGGTGATGTGTGGAACTTTCCCGTGCCCGGGGGGCTTTGGACGCAGATGGGGCGGGAGGCAGTGGCGGTGTGGATTGCCTGGGATTGGGACCACACTGATAGGGAGGGTTTTGAGCGGATGCCCGGGTAAGTTATATCTGGCCTAGCCTAGCTTTTGGGTGGGCTGCCAGATCCTCGAGCGGCTTGCACGGGCAAAGATCTGGGCTTAGTGCTTAGTGGGCGGAGCACACTTGTTGGAGGTGCCTGACCCCCCTTGGGCCAAGTAGCGACTGTCTAACCCACTGAGAAGGTAGATTCGGCCGAATATCAACCTGCCGCCACACCCGCGTATGACCCCCCGTCCCCTCAGCAACCACCGCGGTCAACGAAGCAGGGGCTGGAGATCCAACCTTCGTCGAGATCACGACGAAAGGTGCTGGCCCCCTGGCCGACATGGCGGGCCAGACATTCTTGCATCAAGGACGTCGCCGACTCATCGCCGATGCATCGGCGAAACGGTGCGATCCTCCGACCCCATCTGCTCAAATCCCATTTGGGAGGCCTGTACTGGTGGGCCTCCAACTTGGCTTAGCCTCTTCTAGGGCGGGGCTTTGTCCAGTTCGAGCAAGCCCAGGTGGAGTCAAGAGGCTTCCTGGTGGGCCTCCAACTGGACTTAAGCTCTTCTACATTGGAGACCCATGCCAAGAAACACCCTGCTTGCCTCCAGGTTGCCTTGGGTTTCTTGGGTTTAGATGATGTTGCAATTGAAAGCGTGACGTTCCCACACCAAAGATCAATTGACGTCCTGGGGTCTCAGGGTTGGGTTTCTTGTGGAAGGTTTCTTGTGGACTGGCCTCCACTGTAGGGCGAAGCCAGGTTCAGCTGGAGCAGTTCCACTCGGAGCAAAAGCGCTCTACCTGTTGGGACACCAACGTGACTTCGCCTCCGATTGTTGGCCTCAAGAGGGTACCCAACGGTCATTGAAAGTGGGCATTGTTGGATTCCCAGGTTCCAATATATATATATACTTTAAGCGACTTCCTACTTGAATGATCGAATGGCTTCACTTTGTCCGTCCTCTTCAGGGGGCTGGCGGACACCCAATCTACGTTCAACGCCTTCCTACTCCATGCTTCGACCGACTTCTTCCGACCGCTGGGTAGTGGTATGCTCGGTTGCTGCCGGGCGCCATGGCCCTCGCGGGGTGGCCAACCAACGAAGGGCAAGGACAGGAGCCATTTCGACTTGTGTCGCTTCGGATCGATGCGAGTTCCACGGCGGCTTCGAGTTCGAATCGAGACGGCTCCAAGCTCCGACCGTTTAGAGTGCCAAGTCTTCGTATTGATTGCCATGCGTCGTTAACCCCTCCTTACTTCGCTGGTGGCTTTTGACGTCTGGCGTCCACCGAGATTTTGAACAGGGATACTCGTGACAGCCATTCCTTGCAACCTCGCTGCCCTCTGTCCCTCCTCTTCGTCCTGGTCCTACTTCCGGTTCGTTCTGGCCGAGTCACGATTTTAGTTGCAAGGCGAGTTGCTTCGCAGTGCCAGTTCATGCGTGAGTTGAGGGAGCCTTGTCGAAAGATTGGTCGTTTGTTTAAAAAAAGCGATTGCCTCGTGGAGAGACCAGTTGGGCTGGCGGACGACGACGTCGAGCCCTCCGACGCTGCTTGCCCATCTCTGCCGATTCGGTGTGCATCTCGATGGCTCGATGGCTTCCTCGACGTTCCGATTTAGCTCCCGGGGTTGCCCTACAGTCGGGGCCCTGAAGAAGGAACCCTTTTCGTTGGGGAGGGGCTCTTTGTTCCTTGATTGCTTCACAGTTTGCCTTGGGTTCTCCTCCGGTTCTCGATGGGAAACCGAAGTTCAACTTGTGGATGAGAGGGGCCTCGTTCCTTATTCAGGGTTCCTTGGGTCAACGCCCCGACTGTACCACGAGGAGGGCGTCGTGCGGCTCCGGGACCTGGAGCTTATGTATATTATGCCGTCCCTCCTTTCTCGCTCCTCCTCCCTCCACTCCTGCTGCTGCTGCTGCTGCTCCTTCTCCTCCAATCGCGCACTCTGTGCATAATGAGACAGCCGACGTGCAGTCGCTCCCGCAAAGCGGCGAGTTCAGGCTGGCATTGTCTTTTGCCCGCGCGCTCCGGCGTATGGCAGTTCGTTCGTTCGTTCGTTCGTTGCCCTACCGCGAGGAGGGCGTCGTGCGGCTCCGGGACCTGGAGCAGCTGTCCCCCAAGTCCTGGCGGGTCCGGAGCTCCGGCGGCCTGCCGCGCACCCCGCTGTGGAGGGACCCCGCGGCGCCGCTGGACGCGGCGAACACGGTGGCCCAGGCCAAGGATCACGAGCCGACAACTGGCACCCATACAGTCGGGGCCCTGAAGAAGGAACCCTTCTCGTTGGGGAGGGGCTCCGCGTTCCTGAAGTGTTTCACAGCTTGCCTCAGGGTTTCCTTCTGTCTTCGATGGGAAAGTGGAAGTTTAACTTGTGGGGAAAAGGGGCCTCGTTCCTTATTTAGGGTTCCTTAGGTCAACGCCCCGACTGTACCCAGGGGTGGACCTAAACGGTGTTTGGGCGATGTCGTGGGCCGTTGTCGTTTCGAGTTCGTTTATCGCGGCAGAGGCGGATGGAAGGCAGAGCGAGGAGAAACGAAAGCAACACGAAAACGGAAAGCACCGTTTAGGTCCAGCCCTGCCCATACCTGATGCGGCCCCCAGATTTCTCGGGGTGGAATCCGGGGGGGACTATGGGTGTGTGTTGTCGGATGAGGGTCCCCTTTCAAACGGGAGCCCCCCTCGGGATCCGACAATTCGCAACCATTCCTATAGCACCTCCATCTCCTTGCCCTTCCCCATTCCTCCTCCCTATAGGTTTAAGCGTGTGGTGTTCTTTCATCAAAGGATCGATGGACCCTGGAGCCTGGAGCCCCAGATTTTCGACGATGGCATTCGTGTTCAATCAGGACGTTCTTCCTCGATTTCGGGCCCCTTGGCCCGTTCACTGGACGCGGGTCCGTCACACATAGATCTGGGATGAAAGACTACCCCCGCAGACGGCCTCAGGACCTCCTGGGCCGCGTGCTGAAAGCATCACAGAGTCAGATGTTTGGGAAGTCGGACAGCTCCACGCAGGGACAGGGTGGATTCGCGCCAGATCCGAGGCGGGCACCCCAGCGCGGGCGTTCAAGGTTGAGTACCACGGGTGGCCCTGACTCGGACGTCATCGAGCGATCCGCTATCTGAAAGCCGCGATCGCTGAGGGTTGAGCAGCCCGCACTGTGTCAGAAACCAGCGTCGACGTCGCCGCAAACGTCCGCTTGGCTTACCCCGTCGGCCTCCGCCGGTGGCGCTGGGGCCCCTGGTGGCCCCAACGCACCGCGCTCCACACGAGGGGGCATCTGTGGACAAGCGCACGTGTCTTGCGGACGGCAACGGGAGGGCAAGCAACGTGGGACCCTAAAGGGGCTCTAAAGAGCCACCGCGGGCCCAAAAGGTGCACGAAAGGCACACGTGTCTTCCCCCCACGCGTGTCGCCCCCCGTGCACGGACACCCCAACCTTGACGCTAGCACGCGTCTTCGGAGTCATCGGAAGGAGGGCGAGCAGGTGGAGGGAGAGTTCGTCTTCGTTACCCGGAGGGACGGCAAGCGGAGCGGCTACGTGCGGCGGAAGTACCTCGCCGCGGCTGGTTGAGCTCTGCCTCTGGCCGCATCTGTGTTGTTTCCCCCTCCGTCTTCCTTTCTTCTTCCTCCTCTTGTTTGATCTTCCATTCTCCGTCCTCCGCCTTTCCATCGCCCGTCGCCCTCTCGTCCTTGCGCATCGTGCTCCTCTGCCCCCCCGAGTTCCCCTGCGTCGCCCTCGGTGGGCAGCAGCTCCGCGGGCGAGAAGCACCAGCAATGAGCTCCCAGGGGCCCAAGCCCAGCCCCCGTTCTCCGACGACGACATTCAGGACAGGAAAATACACACAGACACAATCAATCGTCGACCCTGAGGAAAGATAGGAAAATATGGGAAGTGGGGGGGGAGACGAAAACCCTGGCGATACATAAGATATGGGAAATCCTGGGATTTGTATGTATTTGTGTGCCCCTGGGCCCCTTCGGACATGTCCACGGCACGGGGCACCCGGACCTCCATGGCAGTGCAAAACGCAGCGCGATGGCGTCCCTGTGCCTGGCTGCCCGTCGCCGGGGGCCCTCGCCAGGGCCCAGCACCGTCAGGGCGCCCCCCTCGGCCGATGGACCTCACTGCCCTGTCACGCCGGTGAACGAATGGGCCGCTTTCGGTTCGCGAGGGGGCGTCGAGGCCGTCCTCTCTGCGGGTCCAGGTCCGTCTTAGGCCGTTTTTGCCAAAGGGAGGTTTGCTAAAGGGAGGTCTGTCCACCGCCGACACTCGGGGCGAGACGCCGGCCCCAGGGAAGGGGCCCAGGCCTCCGGGGGGCGGCGCTGCCGGAAGATCACAAACATTGGCGTCCAGGGCGTTTGGGCCCGCCGCCCGGGGGGGAGAGCCTCTCCTGGACCCCGGGAGGCGATGGACGTGGACATGCTCGTGCGTTTTTGCTGTGCACGCCTACCTTTTTCTAGGGCGAGGCGTGTGCAGCATCTTTCTCTCCTCCTTCTTCCCTATTGTTAGTTAATGACAAGCAAGGCTTTGGGGAGCGAGCAGGTCTTCCAGGGGCTGGACCTTCACAGAGCTTCCATATCCCCTCTCCCAGAATCTTTGTGCCCCGTCCCTGTATACGGGGGCTGGCTGAGGCATGGAGCGCCAGTCAAATCTTGATTGGAGGTTGGGGTGGTGCGTTTTGCTCGTTCATTGGCTTTCCCGAAGTCGGAGGTTCGGTCAGCCACGACTCGTGTCTTTTATACATAAAAATGGAGGGCCCACATTGGGCCGAGTGTGCATGTGAACCCCTTGTCGGAGGATGCCCCTCCCCATCAGCGGTCTCTCGGCAGCTCGTGCTCATTGCTGCTGCATCGGACATTCAGGCAGGCGCCTTTGCTGAACTGAGAGGGGCATCGTTCTGGCCCGCCCGCCCCCCAGAACAAGGTTTTTGGGTCAAGCAACCGCCGAGCACATACCTTACCAAGCCTGGCTCTTAGGCGAGGCGCCGCAGGCGAGGGCGCAGCGCCCGCGCCAACCAGCACGATATGCCCAGTGCCAAAGGAGGAGGGAGGAGGAGGAGGAGGAGGAGGAGGAGGAGGAGGAGGAGGAGGAGGAGGAGGAGGAGGAGGAGGAGGAGGAGGAAGAGGAGGAGGAGGAGGAGGAGGAGGAGGAGGAGGAGGAGGAGGAGGAGGAGGAGGAGGAGGGAGGAGGGAGGAGGAGGAGGAGGAGGGAGGAGGAGGGAGGAGGAGGAGGAGGAGGAGGAGGAGGAGGAGGAGGAGGAGGAGGAGGAGGAGGAGGAGGAGGAGGAGGAGGATGGAGGAGGAGGAGGAGAGGAGGAGGAGGAGGATGAGGGGGGAGGGGGAGGGAGGAGGAGGAGGAGGAGGAGGAGGAGGGGGAGGAGGAGGAGGAGGAGGAGGAGGAGGAGGAGGAGGAGGAGGAGGAGGAGGAGGAGGAGGAGGGGGAGGAGGAGGGGGAGGAGGAGGAGGAGGAGGAGTGCTCACTTCCATGGAAGGCTCGGGGCCCGCGGCCCCTCCTCCGACGCCTTCCTCCTGCTCCGCTGCCGCCCGGCACCGCGCCCCGCCCCGCGAGATCTCGCGCGAACGCGCGCCCCGACCTCGCGCAAGAGCCGTGGGAGGACCCCTCGCCCAGGGTGCGGGGAAACGTGCGCGGCAAAAAGAGTCCGGCGATCGGCTGTGCGTAAGAGTGACTGACCCCTTCGCCGGAGTGATCTCTGGTGTGGGCACTCTGGGCTTCTGTGCGGGCGCACAGGGGTCCTACCAGCCTCGGCTGGCGCGCTCGGTTTGCCTGGATTTCGCCTCCCTCTCGGCCGTCTACAGCCGCGCACCAAAGGCCACTGCTGCCTAGGGTCGCTATTACGCGTCGCAGAAGGAGCTCGGTCGGGCGGACGGCAACACGGAAGCCATACATGTGGGAGCATCGAGGGTTGCAGGACAGTTGCCCTACAGAAGCCTTTGTCACCGTGGCCAGCAGCGTGCGCGAATAGCGCGCGCTTCTTCACCCCACGTTTATCGCCCTCGCTGTTGTCGAGCACCCGAACCGGGGGGGGGGATGAGCAGGACGCAGACATCCAGCATCTTGACAAAATCAAGATGAAGACCGCCGTTCCCAGAGAGCTCCGATGTCCTGGTCAAGTCAGTACGGGGCCCCTGGAAGTCCTGATCTGCTCCCCAGCTCGGCATCGCTCGGACGTGTGCATTTTTTCCTCGGCGGGGAACCATCGAGGACCATCCTGGATCATCGAGCAAAGCAAAAACACACACGAAACCGAAAAATACACGGGAAATGAACGTCCGAGCGACGGCAAGCCAGGGCCAGTCTTCCAGCCGGAGCCGCCCCTGGACAGTCCCAGGGCCCAGCGAGGGGCCCGCGGAGGCCGGAAGCGGCCACAAGTTGGTTTTCAGTCGGGCCTGTCCCTCTACGGGAAATCTGCAAAAATAGTCAAAGCATAGTCTGGGGACGATTTTTGTTTACCATTTTTTGAGTATTTCGGGGTATTGTTCGACTATGTTTCATTTTCCGCCCACAGTCCCCCTGTAGGTGGACAGGCCCGACTTAAAGTGAGTTGTTGTTTTTGCAAAGCGCGGATGTCTTGTGTTCGGCCTCCAGGTTCTCACCAGGCCCCGTGACTTTCGAGAATCGACTCAGGAGGAAGAGCTGTCCTTCGAGAAAAGGTCGGCCACGCGCGTTGGCTGGACTTCCGGGCCACCGCGTTGGAGAACTCAACGCACGCATCGGACCCCTAAGGCGGAGGGAGCCCAGACATCTGGCTCGCCGACTTGTTCGTCGCGTGGGCCAAACCTCTGGACCCTTGCCGTGGGGCCTGCTGGTCATCCCATCCAGGGTTGTCTGTTGACAGTCCCGAGGCCCGAAGCCGGCTGCAGATACCCGAAACGGTGAGTGGCCAGCGTTGTCGATGTTTTTTCCAGGCGTCAGATAATCTGGGATGACGGCGACCATGATGATATGATGATGTTCATGTTCATGTGCATGCATGATGATGGTGACGACGATGATGTTGATGATGCGGTTGATAATGATGTGGATGATGATGGGGGTGAGGGTGATGAGGATGATGATACTGATGAGGATGAGGATGAGGATGAGGATGAATATGAAGATTGAGATGATGACGGTGATGACGGTGATGATGCTGATTGTGGTGATGGTGATGATAAGTTTGATGATGATGATAATAATGACGATACCGATCATGATGGTGTTGATGATTATGATGGTGATGATGATGATGGTGATGATGATAATGATGATGATGATGCTGATGATGATGATAATGATGATGAATAAGAGGACGACGACGATGGTGGTGGTGGTGATGATGGCGATGATGATGCTGATGGTGGTGGTGATGATAATGGTAATGGCCCTGGCGTTGGTGATGGCGATGGCGATGGGGATGGTGATGGCGATGGCGATGGTGGTGGTGGTGGTGGTGGTGATGGTAATGGTGATGGTGATGGTGATGGTGATGGTGATGGTGGTGGTGATGATTATGATGCTGATGGAAATAGAGATGATGCTGATGCTGATATTGAGTGGTGGTGGTGGTGATGGTGATGATAATGGTGATGGTGATGGTGATAGTGATGGTGATGGTGGTGTTGATGGTGATGGTGATGGTGATGGTGATGGTGATGGTGATGGTGGTGATGACGATGCCGGGGCCACGCAACCCGCCAGCCAGCCGCCGCCGCGCGGCCGCGCCGCCAGACGTGGCCAGCTGCCCCCCCACCCAGCCGCATCGGCCCCCGAAGCCGCCCCGCCCGCCCACCGGCTTTGGCGTCGCGAGCGATTGTCCGCGGCCGTCGGCGAGGCGGCGGCGCGACGATGCGCAGGCACGGACCGCCGCGAATGTGGATCAAGGTTCGAGGATCGGGGCTCTCTGCCATTTTTGGGCTTCCGCGAGGCTTCTCGGGGCCACGGCTGGATTCTTCTCGAAATTCTAGCCAGAACCCATCGCGGGAGAGGTCATGGGCCCAATTCTGTTACCCCCTTACCCAGGCCAGGCCGCGCAGTGATCTCGACGGAAGCTTGTGGCCGAGGTTCCCCCTCTGGGGGCCGTCAAGGAACACTCGGGATGAAAAGATGGTGCCAGTGGGAGGGTGCAAAGGGTCCAGACCTTTCAGGACACGCGCAGAGGGGGGTAGGGAGGAGGGGGGGAAGGCATCTTAGTGACGCTACGGGCCGTGGGGCGCAGCAGCCTTGCGAAGGAAGGAAGGCTTCTTAGAAGCACCCCTGCGGACCCTGTAGATGTAGGGCGGGCGCAATCTAAGAAGCAGCCTCCTTCGACGAAGCTTTCCCCCTCCCCCATGCCTCCTTGTGCGCACCGCCAACAAAGGGTCAGACCTTCGAGGGCCCACGTTGCACAAAAGCAATGATTACACGACGTCGGGGGTCTGGGTTCGAGGATCGGCTGCGCGTGCACGGGTGACCCTTCGCCGGAGTGGCCTCTTGGTGCGCGGTTTTCGAAATGCGCGCGGGGGCCAATCCCAAGGGCGCATGCCGCTACTGTTGCATAGCATGCAACGACCCGCAAGCCGCGCACAAAAAGTCACTCCTGCTTAGGGCCACTCAGCCCCTGCGGAAGCTAGAGATCTCGAGGCGTGACCGCACGATTTTGCCCGCCTGGTTCCAGCTCACGTATCCCCTCTCCTCATCTGTTTCTTCCTCCGACTCTTCTTGGTCCTCATTCTTGCTTGGGGGGTGCCTGGGCTGAGGCTCCTGAGAGAAGACGCAGTCGCAGCTTCCTGATTCAAGACCTCCCAAGTGGGGTCCGGGTATATGGGGTCGGGGGATCGCGCCGCATCGCAGACGCATCGGCGGTGCGGTTCGATGTGAAGCCCCATTACGTCGCCTCTAGTCGGGGAAACGTAAGACTCGAGATCGCCAGAACTCGGGTTTGTCGACGCTTTTGCGACGAACGCGTCCTAGGTTTTGACGGTCCAGTCTTCGTGGGAGGTTTGCAGCGGGAGTTCGCGTTGAATTTCAGATTGGGTCTCGTCATTCGCATGATGGCCCCGTCAGGCCAACCCAGTCCCCCGAACCTGAGTCTTACGTCCTCCCGATCTAGGGGGACTCGGACACACGGGGGAGGGACCCTTCGCCGGAGTGATTTTTGGAGTGCGGCTTTCGACGACGACGACGACGACGACGACGACAACCGTCGCACCGCACGCAGCAGTTGGCAAACAATGCTCTAAAGGCCACTCTTAGCTGGGGTCACTCTTTTCGCGCCTTTGGAATCGAATAAGAAAGTGCCATGTAAGCGTCAATTGCCAGGGGTCTGCGCGGATTTCTTGGATCGGCGCCAGGCCCCCCTACCTGGCGTGCGGAGCGCGCCAGGGGCGGCGCCGCGGGCGCCTCCAGGGGATCCCAGCGCCGGCCCAAGACCTCCGCGCGGACCTCCGAAAGGCTGTGCTGCTGCCGCTTTCTTCCCCCACGGGAAAACTGGAGGACGAGAGTTCGCGGGCGTCTCTGCACATCAACTTCGGCACCGCCTGATCCCAGGGCTTCGCCCTCTCCCGGCCGCGTGAGGCCCCGCCTTCTTCCGCCCTTTCTCTGCTAATTAAAGCTGTGCGCGTCCCGCTTAGCTTTCAGCGGAAGAGGTTCGCTCTCGCCACGCAGATCAAAAAGTTCGCGGGCGAAGAACGGTAGAGCCGGAGAACTCGGGAGAAGCCGGCGTCGAGGAGCGCGCGGCGAGCGAGCGAGGGCGCCACGGTGGCCCCGAGGCCTCCGGCGGCCCAGCGTGGCAGAGAAGCGCCCGGCTTTGAGCGTGTGGCGTGCAGCCCTCGCACGCCCGAGGCCGACGAGGTGGTGCGCGGCACGACCGAGCGAGGCCTGCGGGACGCCAGCCTCCTCTGTCGGGCGGCAGGCCCACCTCCTCCTCCTCCTCCGCCTCTTCCTCCTCCTCCTCCTCCTCCTCCTCCGCCTCCTCCTCCTCCGCCTCCTCCTCCTTCTCCTCCGCCTCCTCCGCCCCCTCCTCAGACATCCAGCGCCTCGAGCTGTTCGCTGCGTGCCCCCCCCTCCCCTCCCCCTCCCGCAGGGCGCGGGCGTCTCTTCCCGAGCCGTGGTCCGCAGGCCCCGCAGGGCCCGCAGCCAGGCCTCAGAGGCCCGGAGTGGCGACAAGCCAGCCGCCTCGACCTTGTTCGAGAGCCCCCTCATAGTTCAGGAGGGGGAAAAACACACAGACACAATGAATCGTCCACTCCCAGGAAATGATTGGAAAATATGGGGATTGGGGGCTGGGTGGTTATCTGAGCTCCCTCACAGTATTTGTTCTGAGCCCGCGGGGGCCCGACGGGGATCTGATGTCCTCTTGTCTTCCAGTCCTACAGTCTCCCCGGCATCGCTCCAAGATCTGCTGCATCGTTCAAATTTGTTCAGCCTCTCAGGGGCACGGGCGCGGAAGTTGCGTCCGCCATCTGTGCATCTCTACGTGGGCGAGTTTCTCTTTAGCTCACGTGGGCTCGGGCCGAAGGGTCCGCAGCATTTATTAGATGCCTTGGAAACGAGGCATTGCCGCGACTGCGAACACTCCCTCCTCTTCCCTCCTCTTCCTCCGCCTCCTCCGTCGTCACTGAGCTAACTGACAGTGTCGGTCCCCTCCTCTTCGTCCTCTTCGTCATCCGTAGCCATTTTGGCTCAAATCGTTCGCAGGGCAGCGGCCGCAACAGCAGATCGCTGAGGACATCCGGGCACTCGATCTACAGGTCTTGCGATGGCGGAGACTGTCGGCACCGTCATGAAGGTGTCTGGACCGCTGGTGGTGGCTGAGGGCATGTCTGGCACCAAGATGTACGAGGTGGTGCGCGTCGGCAAGGACAGGCTGGTTGGAGAGATCATCAGGCTCGAGGCAGACATGGCCTCCATCCAGGTCTACG